AACTTACTCAGCAGGTCTCTTTTATTCTAAACCAAGAAGCTGCAGAACAATTCACTAGAGCCATGCCCATTAAAGTCGGAGTTCATTAAAGTCAGCTTACCTTAGATATTGTGTTTGACTGTTGGGTTCAGCACCTCTTTTATGTGGATATTTGCAGAGGTCCAAAAGGTATGTATTGTAACGTCCAGAGCATTTACCCCTGAATCCAAAGTGAGTCCCAAGGCCAAAACAGGACCAACACTCAAGTGAGTGGGAGAGAAAACCATGAATGATTCTGCAAAATACTCGGGGAAATAAGACACCCAGAGCTAAAAGCAAGCCATAAGCCACAGCTTTTTAATTCTGAAATGAGAGTGGGTAACATCCGCTTGCTGGTTAAAAACACTGTCATTTACGTGAGGGACTATGTTTAATGGTCAAAAGCATTAAGCTCACTGAAGGGTGACATGTTTTGTTTGCAGTAATGTGTGACTGCACAGCCTTTCCATCCAGTGCTCATGTCCAACATAAGGGAGTAGTCCTTCCTTCCCATTAAATCAAATTCACATTGCTGAAGCCTGTGCCTGGCAAGTGAAGCTAAGGTGCTCTGTGTCCAGCATTCACCAGTGTGGGTTCCAGGAAAGCAGGGCAAGAAGACATCCTTACCGAAAATCAACACAGACAACCAGAGCCTATAGCTGCAGAAACTCATAGTGTAATGGCTTTGCGGGTTTTTTTGTTGTTGTTGTTATTTCAGTCATCCTGTAAAAGAAACAGAGTTAGAGAGAAGGTTCCTACACAGCCTACATAATAAACTGTCAGTTTTTAAACTATTATGTTATGAAATGGAAATTAGCTGTTATGATCAAACCATATGGCTAATATAATTGATTGCTTTGTACTTTTGAGAAGACAGCAATCACGATTCAAAGAATAGCTAAATAGATTTTTTTTTGCAAAATTAGCTACAGTGATAAGGTATATTTTGTTGGGCAATTGAGGGGCTTATTTTTAATGTGATAAAGAAGAATCCTTGTTCCAGATTTGAATGGAAACTGTGAATAAAAAGGATTTTGATTGACTTTTAAAACCTCTCACACAGAATAGTAATTCTGTCAGAAAGGAAACTGGCACATGTATACCTGAGTATATGTGCATATGTGCAGGTAAAGAGACCCTGAAATGAGAGGCTAAGCGAATACTGGCTTCCATAGTTAATAGCGTGAGGGGGAAAATGGTTCTAGGTTTCCATTTCAGAAGCAACTTCAGCATATTTGGGGTAACTTTGCAGTTGGAAGGTGGTTCAGCTATATTTTTTCTCGAGTTCTCTAGTATCTAATAGCCTTCTACACTAATACTAGAGACACTTACATCCATATACAGGAAAACATCCCCAGGCTTGATGGAGACATGACTGAGTCTTAAAGAAACAAGATATTGTCCCATAAACTGACATCCTGAACCCCTCCTTGAAACTCACTTTAAGCTCTGAGTCTTACCCTCAAAAGGTCCTCAAGTCTGCATGGGACATGTCTGTTGATTGGGTTTCCTCCTTTTTCCTTAGGTTTGGTTGGGGAGTTATTTTATTTTTTATCTCCCCCATACACACAGCAAGTTGTTGGTTCTACTCTCTTCTGTTGCCAGCTTCGGGTTCTCCAACACATACTTCCTTTAACTTTCACAAAGATCCTCCCAAGGACCATTATTCTCATCATCCCCATTTTATAGATGAGACACTTGGGAATCACACAGGTTGGTGGTGGACTTACCCTTACAGTGATTCAGAGACCGTAGAGTACAGCAGATGTCTCCCACATGCAAAGAGGCATGTGCTCACTGCACTTTGTTGTTTTTGAAATCTATTTCTGAAAGGGGAACATGACTATTGCTGCCTTGATTAGTTTTTATGAGCATTGGTGTCTTTCCTGCATGTATGCCTGCATGTGTGAGGGTATCAGATCTCCTGGAACTGGGGTTACAGACAGTTGTGTGGATGCTGGGAAATGAACCCAGGTCTTTTCAAAGAGCAGTCAGTGCTCTTAACCACTGAACCATCTCTGCAGCCCCTTGATTTTTTGTTTGTTTTCATACTAAACAAGGGGCAGCATTATGGAAGCAGAAAGGATGTCCCGTTATTGCAGCTATCCTAATATTTTTATTTATTATTTATTTAATTGTACAAGTTATGGAGCAGAGTATGATAACACATGTATATACTGCATGGTATGCAAATCAGGATGATTTCTTTAAACTTCTTAAAATGTTTTTATTAGCACACAAAATTGTAAGTATTCAGGAGGCACAGTCTGACATTTCCATATATACATATGAAATTTATTTATTAACTCAAAGCAATTCATTTTTCCATACCCTTATTACTACTTTGGGTTTGAAGCTTTTGAGCTCCTCTCACCTTGATATTCAGAAAATATTAAGGTTATTGTAACCTATAGCCACCCCACTCTTAGCATCTTTAAGTTCTTGACCTGTGACCACTATAGCGCTAACCGTGGCAAATCCTGAATCCACAGTATCCCATGCTGACTACTGTGTGAATGAGAAGGAATGGTGGATTTGCCTCAATGCATGCATACAGAGCAACCACAGTTCCGAAGTTCTTCCTGCAGTGAAAGCATTGCTTATATGAGAAAACTCACAAAATTCCTACAGCCCATCTTTGAGGCAGGACTATTATTTATCCTCATTCTGAGAAGCATAGTGGGGTACTGAGGGTTAACTATGTAACTTCCCATAATTCTCAGAGTAAGTGGATAACACAGACATGGATAGAGGCACCCACATGGTTAAGAGCAGTCCTCACCCCAGGACATCCTCACCAGGCAGGCTCTACCATCATTCCCAGGCCTATGCTGATTCACTAAATGGGTGAAGTCTTGACATGAACTTGGCACCAGGATACCATGGTAGCCACTATAGAGGCAAAATCTGGGAAAGGAAGATGGGGCTTTTTGAGATCGTGTGTACCTGGAACAGGCTCTTAGGAACTTGAGCTCCCTAGTTCAAGTCCTGGTTTACTACTGGATTTCAAAGAAAAGGCAGATAGACAAAACGCCTAGGCATGCAGACATGCTAATGTCTCTGAACTCTTCACTGTGAGATCCACCTGCTTAGATATTCCAAAGGCATGCACATTTCTCTGGAAACTCCGGTCACTTGCTTCCTGGAGGTCCCAGGGAATCTTTCCTAGCCATGGGCCCCTGCTCCTGGAGAACATCCATGAATTCCTTGGTTTTTAAAGGACTCAGACAGGAAATAGACATAAGAAGCCCACACAAGTGATCTTACTCAGACCCACCTCCTGATTAGTGGAGTTTCTCTTGCACATGGTGGGCTGGAAGCTACTGACTTCAATCAAACTTTAAAAGGTTTTATTGTCTCCAATAAGCCTGACAACAACATAATGAAACCAGTTCTTGTTTTTATACCCACTTTGTTGAGAAGGAAGCAGAAATGTAAAGAGGTAAAAATACAAACTACCAGAGCCCTGAACAGAAAGAGCCCAACATCCTGTTGCTTTAATATTGAAGAGCAGCAAGTAGGGCCCTCAGCAAGGGAGGTAGAACACAGCCTTGGCGGGATCCTCATCCTTCCCCTCACAAATTCACTCACCAAACCCACTGGCCAGAGAAGAGAAGGTAGGATCCGGCTGAAGATTTTGAGCCTAGGGCTAGAGTCAGTAGCTCTGGATTGTGACCCTGGTTCTGGATATTATAGCTGTGTAACTTTGGGCAACTTGTTTAACAACTCTTAGACTCTGTTTCTGAGAGAGAAAAAAAGTAACAAAACCAAAACACCTTAGGATAATAATGCATAGGCCAAGTAGGTATTTCTTAAGACCATTGTAAGGGTTAACTGAAGAGAATTTGTCTTTTTTCCTCATACATGTCCCTTCTCAGCTTCCCCCTGCCTAGTACAGTGCCATAAACATAATAAATGCTCACAATAAGGTACCTTCTTTCTTGCAAGCAACACCTCCCTCTCCAGCACCTTTTCTCACCAGAGACCCCAACCAACCAAAACCTGAGCATGTGTAAGTCCCCAAGACTGCCATCTCTCCCTTCTGGTTAAGGATAGCAATTAAGGCTGGTGTTTGTTTTGTGTGTTCCTTCCCCCAATGGAACCCCTATGGCCTTTATTGGTTGTGCCTGTGATGACCGTTCTGGCATCAGCCCTGAGTTTGTCTGGAGTCACTGGTCTTTCTTCTAGCCCCATCATTTATTCATTTGTTCAGTCAACAAGCATTGTTGAGCCTCCACTGTGATGGAGACTCTTGGGGATACCCAGAAAGACCCAGGGCTTATCATGCTTATCCTCTCCTGCCAGCAATGACCAATCAGTGCGAGGGAAGAATCTCCGAGGTATAAGAGGAAACAATCAAGGAAGGATTCCAAAGACATGGGCTCAACCTTCTAGAGGTGACCCACCAGACAGGGGCGCTATTAAGTGTTCCTGACCGTCACTCCAGACCTTTTATTCCACGTTTCTCAACATAGTCTGAGACGCAGGCTGATCCCTTCCCAGGCTTTTGACCCTGAACCCCTCATTTCACACACTTTTGGGGGACTCCTGAGTTTAAGCAAAGCAAGAATCTTTTCAGAGACGGGATACCCTGGAACCAAACAGTCGTTGCCTGCGCCTCACAACAAACTTCATGCACCTGAGAGGGGTAATTAGCAATTACAAAGCATTAATTGCCCCACCTCCGAAGACCTGGGATAGGCAGAGAGAAGCACTGGCCAACTGTAAGGTAAGAAGATCGGGGAGGGGAGGGGATTCCCAACAGTCTCTGCAGAGATCCGCTTAAGTCTTTTCTCTTTTGCCTTTCTTAGCTTTGTTCCCTGGTCTGTCCTTCAAGGAAACCACAGGGAACCTACATGTCCAGCTTGGAGGAAGGACCAGAAAAACATCCCAAAGGGAAGAGGCAGGGAGACCAGGAAATCTGAGCCCCTGTGGAATCTGGCCCCTGGCTGTGTTACTGAAGGAAGACCTCATTCTTGTCTCTACTGCGCTGGAGGAGGCTCAGAGCGACAGCGCCTGGTGTGGAATGCAGCGGAGGAGGGTGGGGGTGGAGGAGCAGGGATGGGGGAAGCATCTTCTCGCTGCCTAGTCAGGTTTGGGTTCCACTGGAA